ATATAGGTAGTTAAAGAAGAATTGGGCTCAGAAATAAGTAGATCCATTACTGTAGTTGTAAAGGCAGTAACGCACCGTGGAACGCAAACAACGATACACTGTAATCCTGACGAGACCAAAGAGACGTTCATCGATATGCTCATCGGCACTCGAATATGAATATATTAAGTAATGCTGTATGTACATATACCGTTAGTTACGTGTCACAAGGAATACCATTTCCATACACTTGGCAATAGATTTCGAGAACTCGTCGATAGATTAATAAATTTCTTCGAATAAATAAAAATTTCAAGCAGCAATTTACCATGAGAATAATCTTCAGTCGGTCAAAATTTTATCTGACACGTTCATTTGTAATTGCAACGAACGCATTACGGTGTATAATTTTTGTTTCTTTTTAATAATTCATCTTTGTGGGCGCAAACTTTCATTGAATAATTTATGATGACAACAGGATTACATAAATGAGGCGGAAACTAATTCTTCATGGCGTAACACACGCGTTTCCCGTTCGTCGATAGGAGAATATCCTATGGATAAACATTTATTTCCATTACAAAAAATGGGTCTTTTCCGAGCGAAATTTATTCACTGATATTTTATCTACAGAAATGTCTCGGCTTCTTCATCTGCTATCACGTGCAGCGATAAGTATAATTCCACAAAATAACCGTATCCTGTGGCACGATTACTTATGACCGTGCAACAGGTGCATAACACGCTCTGAAAACCGATCTTTATCCTTCCGTGCGATCACGTGATTAGACATTTAGTCACGTACACATTTTTAATTTACACGAACAATCAAATTTCCCCCAAAAATAATATTGGGTTGTTCGGAAACTTCGTAGCATTTTTAAGGGTATATTCTTATTTATTCGATTAATTTCATTGTAGCAGTTACATGTAACCTTCATTGTTTTAGCTAAAAAAACTCTTTAACATGATTTTAAATGAATTTTTTTTCTTAATAATATAATATTCTAGCAAACTAAATAAATAAACATCTAACTGGGTAAAGTCCAATTAATTGGGTGGATCTTATAGAATTTTCCAGACGACGTGGGTAAGTTTTTTTTTTTTAGGTTTGGTAGAATGCAATGAAAATGAACTTCATGCTTGTTCACAAGTTTCGTCGATATTTCTCATAGAAAACAAAGAAGAAAACTACGAGTAATTTGTACAACAAATACTACATTCAATCCACACCTGGAAAATGGTACCTATCCACCGCATCAAACGATTTCTCCTTCGTCCAGTGAAAAGGTAACTAAAACATTGTGTTCATAACGTTATGAACTTCTCGGAACGACCACACTGATTTCAAATCCTCGTTATATTTGAGAATTTCTTACATAGGAATATGAATAAAATAATTTTTATTGCTACAAATATGTCGATAATATTCGATACGAAACAATTTACAGTCATTATTCATTTCCATATTTGAAGAATCCCAATAAAGCAGTTTATCATACTTTAGTAATATATTTCAGTTTAATCAAAAGTTTTAGAGGTTATTTTAAAAATTACAAAGAACCTACATATACAGTGGGTCAAAACGGTATTGGCAAACAAAAAAATTTTTATAGATTTGAGGTGCGATGTCATACAATTGTTATCTTCAATTGTTTGTAAATTTTTCATGTGTCTTTTATTATTATATATGTTTCGTTTTATTCAATATATTTTACGGGACCAGAGCGTGCAAATGCTTTTTTCCACACTGTATATACATAGAAAAGAAGAAAAATATACCGAACGATTTTTAGATGTAACTTTTATGAAATGTCAATAGACCAAGTTTAAAGTTCAGTACTCATTAAAATATCTCACCGATAGCACTAGAGATTAGATGGTACCTTTTATTTTTATGATATCTTCCAGTTTTTGCACATGCATACAATTCAAAATTCACATTGTAAGTTTGTTTTCTTTAAATGATTACTTACCTCAAACATTCCGAGAGTAGACTATCTGTCTTGCAACGCAAAAGATGTGTCTTGGACGCCTGATGAAATTGACGCGAAGAGTTGTCTCTAATACGCCAAGAATTAACAATTTTCCGCGGAAAATCTTGTTTAAATAATGACAGGACACGTTTTTGTAAAGTAGAAGACATATCTGCGTATATAAAGTACCGGACAATGACACGATCTTAAGCCCTCCTCGTTGGAGTACAACGAACTATTTGTTTATTTCGTCCTGTACATCAAGTATGGACGTTGCGTAGAAGAAAAATTTTTGTTAAATACACATATGCAGAAATAAACCAAAGATCGTTATTGCAAATTGAACAGTAAATGATTATAAATATAATAAAGGAAACGTCAGGTTCGGGAAGCGTTACCGCATAACCTCCACGCGCTACCCACGCGCTACTTATACTAATCTGACTATGTGAAAACCACTGTTGCCAGCGTTGCCTTGCCAGAATGACGTCCTGAAACCAATGAATTTTGTAGAGATCAGAGGTCTTGCCTCGCGTAGACAGACCATCTGCGCACTGCAGACCGTGTGGCAATTAATAGTACTAATCCGCCGTGGACGCATTATATAAACAAATATTTATATAACAATTTAATACAAATATGTATATATAACTTAATATAAATATATACATAATAACACACGTGTATATATCTATATTATTGTGTAAAAACTTCGAAGATATTGATTTAAGAAGCATTTTAAAAAAATGGGAGATGTATTTATTCCTCTTCAATATTTAAATTTTATATTAAACAAATACATATTCTCTTACATATACACAAATTCGTACAATTAGATGTTACCTTCATTCTAATTATTACAGTACGTACATATGAAAACATTGGAAGAAAAATCCATCACATTAATATGTTACGTACAGTAAAATGAAAGCTTGGAAGATATTAATTTGAGAAGCATTTTCAAAATTAGATTTTTTTGTTAAGCTGGTCCACGCATATGCATTTTGTTGATTTAATGTCAGTGAGCATGGATAATATGCATGGAAATACAACACATCGTCTTTTCTTTTTGTCCTCTAAATAATGTCACAAGTGTTCCGTCCTCAATATGGACTTTCTTTATTCACGGTATATTAATTTCTTTGGGCGGCTAAAATGCTTCTTTTAAAATCTGGAAAATTCCTAACAACCCCTTTTGAAATAATCTGACAATAATGTATTCGGCGCGCGTATAATTGCACCTAATTCAAAGTCCCTTTACGTTAAAATGGTTTCTAAGAATTCAATACCGTCCTACTTTCCGGTAATAAAGACATTTCCAAATTATGTGTTACAATGAGCCACCGTGCAGTCTCGTTATTGCCTCCATTTACGATAGGGTTGCCCGCGTTGCGGTCAGATACGTCTCACCCTAAGTACCTGCTCATATTCGGTAATAGTACTATTATTCCAATTGTGGTTTACACTATGTGTATACTTCTTTTCAGACATAGAAAAGTAAAGGACTACTAATATCACATGTGCGTGGACCAACTGCAACGGTTCTCAGAAACGCGAAATATATCGTTAATACAAAAATCGAATTTTGAAAATGCTTCTCAAATTAATATCTTCGAAGCTGTTATTTTACTGACATATTACAAAGTGAAAGTACACAATAATTAAAAATAAAAACTAAAACGGTCGCATCGGGATACGAACAAGCTCTTCATCATGAACGAGCGTGTGAGAGAAATCATTCTGCTCTCGGCGTCGGTCCTTTACTTTTCTATATCTGAAAAGAAGTACATATGCACATAGTTTAAACTGCAATTGGAATAATAGTACTACCACCGACGAGGTATAGGATAGACCTATCATCTTATGGGACTTCGTGTCTCATGTTCTGAAATACCGATAATGTAAAAAGTCAGGGATTTTCTGCTGCCCTCTACGTTATGAGAACGATGAATTTTTGAACTACGTTAAATCCATTCAAACTCAACTAGTCTAACTTCTACAGTGTTGTCGAGTCTAAAGTACAATGTTGTCAGATCATGAGTGTTCGGTACGTCGGAAAATCATCGAAGGGACCATGGTCGTGAACGGATTCTCTTTCGTCCGTTCACTGTAAAGTAGACGTATTAGAAAGGAGTCTTGGGTTCCAGTCCCGACGGACCTATTGGTTTTTTTTCGCGTACAAAAAAATGAATGCGCTTAATATTGTTTTTATGAATATGTATACATATATATTATTATGTACATTTGAGTAAATTATTTTATTATTCCATTGTTATTACAACAGTTTAACAGTGACAACGAACGCATGCATATTTTCAAATATCGGACTAATAGTATATTTTTATTCTATATTATTACATATAAGTGAGTAATACGTATCAAAAACGTAATCGAAACACAGATTTTTATTACACCACAAACATCGCATAAAAGATATTTCGTTATATTGACATTTGTAATAATTATGGATGTTGCGGGGAAATCTATTGACATTATGGAACATGTAACGAAATATCACTGTAACACTTAACAAAGGTTTAAAGTTCCATTTATATCATTGTCCTGTGAAAATGTTCATACTTCCAGCAACATTCATATTCCGATCAAAGAATTTACAGAATAAGGAAAAGGAATCTAAAGTAATTTTCAGTAGTTCCATACATCTTTATCTCGAATACTTTTCTAAAACATTCAAAGTACTAGACATTTTTACACTTTGAATCTCATATCGATTTCTAAAATAATCCTA